TTCTTCCCTCTCATAGCTGTATTTGGCTATAAAAGACGGACCAGAGTAAACACAGAAATTTTGAGACACACTTTGCTTACCCGACATCTGTCCTGGCCGTGTGCAAATTTTTGAGCCATTCGATTGGTTCCTTGGGTACAAAATAGCTTTTTCGTACCTGTATGTAGAGGTTTTGTGAGTCCGGAGAAAACGGGATTTCACTGATCGCGCTTGCAAGGCACACTCGTAAACCACAGTGTAATCCGGGTCGAGACACTTGAAGCTTATAAGCCTGTTTAAACAAATACGGCCGTGCATGGGATAAATGGATGTGCCATGCGATATTGTAAATGAGACATGCGACCACAACCGCAAAGCAACGATAATTGGTTTAACACTACAGGTCAAGAGATTTCCAGGCCTCAACTAAAATTTGTCATAAAGAAATTATGGAAACCTTCGTTACATGTGATTTTCTCCATTTTCAAAATTTCTGTTTGTTTCAAATTTGATATCATTGTGTGCCTCGAAAGTTCGGCTTCTTAAATGTGAAATAATCTAAAAATGGATGTTTTCACTGTTAATTTTATTTTTGTTTTGAAACCAGAAGTTAGCATTTGTTGATCTCAAAATTACATTTCTCAGGTGCAAATTTAATTTAAATTTAGTTTTTTTTACTTTTTTAATGATGGAGCTTGCTACTGCTACTTTAAAACTTAAATTTTCCGATTATTTTTTGCAGTTTAACTGAATTGGAAGTTCATTCCAAAATCTGCTCTTCTGTAGCTGCCAACAAAAATGCCATGTAAGTCATCAGTTAATGAAGAACACGACTGTTATGTAATTTATTAGGCCCTGTATCTGTTTGAAATTGCTTGGACCCTTTGTTTTCATGTAAGTCGTGTTCTCCATTTTTCAAATAATAATAATAATAATTATAAAAATTATAGCGAATGGAGATATTCGAAAGCAAAATTCCTGGTGCTTAGTTGGTTTTGTTTGTCTAGTCAGTCCCCTTTTCCAACAGTATTTATATGATTCAAAATTTCTAACAGAGTTGGCAAGCTGCTCAGTTTTAAGGTGTCTAATCTTGTTTTTGCCAGTCCTTGAAGAGCACTGTTCTTTTAAACTCAAAGGTTTTAAAAATACAACTTAAAGAGCAAGAGTGATAGATTTGTGAAACTGTGGATCTTAATTTTTATCATTGTGTCAATTTTAAGAGTTTGTTCTCGCTTTCATTTGATGAGAGGTGATTTGTGTATTAAGAGATTTTAAGAAAAAGATAAAGAAAGAGACTTTTAGTACTGTTAGACTGTCCTTTTAACCGATAGCTAGTCACTGTAATGATTTTCTGGGGTGGGCCTGTGGTCAAAATTCTATCAACTCCATTCCAGAAAGTGTTTTACTGAATAAATGTTTAAGAACAAAGTATTTTTACTGAATAAAGGTTTTCCCCAAGTGTTTTAACATCGATGGAATATCCTGGCCATATTTTGTCTTATGCTACTTCCAGTGGTGTCAGAATTTAAAGGGATGAGCCAGAGACATAAAAAGATATAATAAACAGGCCTATATAGAGTCATTACAAAAGAATTCACCTTTGTCTAACTAATCAACGAGCCCCACTTTCGTTTTAGCCCAAGTTTACCCAACATGTTGGTAGTGGATGTCACCCAGGTAACCGAAGCATCAAATACGGAGCAGCTGGTTAAAGTAATAACAAAGGTATTAAAAATATACAGGCATTAATAATACCGCCTCGTTGGTGCGGGAGAATATAAAGTCAACATCTATTTCTTTACATGTGAAGCAAGATTCATTTACTAGCTCAGTTATTACTAAGTTTGTTTGTTTCAAGATGGTTTTAGAGCACGTTCAAACTAAGCTTTTCTGTGGTAACGAAATCATATATAGAAGTGAATTTAAGTCGATCACTCTCTTATTTTGTACGATTTTCTTTTTTATGTTGTACTATGGATTATTAAGTTTGTCTGCAATCGATTGTCAAATTACAATTGCAAAACTAATAGTTTCTCACAGTGCATGGATAGCTGTTGGAAAATTTATATACTGGATGGACTTTTTTTCTAAGGTTTCAGAAATTGAATTCAGGGATAAGTTCTCATCCCCCATCCCGTCCCGTTATCATTATACTTAATAATTTTTAATAATTTTTGAGCCCCCATTAGCCCACAAAAAGTCCACCATTGCTCCTGAGGGGTGGTCAAGGTGCTCAAACAGCCAAGGGTGTGTTTTGTTACGTATGTGGTGCATCAATTAATCTTAGTGAAATATTTTCTCTAGCCCCTGCACTAGGATTTTTCTGTTTGGACACCTGATAGGTCACTGGGATCTTTGCTTTCTATTTATGATAATTAATCAGGCATTAACTTAGTTATCTAATCGTTAAAAAGGATCATTTCCAAAGCATCTTTACAAAACAGTTTTCGAGAAGTTACTTGAGGCTTAGAGTTTTCAGTACTGCGATTCCTTTTGAAGTGAACCTGCCATCTTTTGCATGGCAATCAAGTGATCTAACTTCTTGGTTGATTTGCTATTTGCATAGTGCGTAGGAACAATGTAAGATTAAAAACCCAACCCATGAAATCCATATGGTTCTCTTAATGTGAACTTAAATCTCTTGGACAGGATCTTGTTTCGATGAATTTTGAATTGGATAAAACAGATTGTGAAAACGAGCAATTGATTAAGACCCAGAAAAGCTCACAAAAAATTATTGCAACGGTCAAACTTTCTTCCATCTGCCTAACTGTGTGTCGTTGCTCAATCATGTTCGACGTCTTTGCGTTGATTAAAGCACTATTTAAAAACAAACCTTTCACTTAAATCAAGTTTGCTCGCTCTTGATTTTTCTTGACCAATTTTGCTGGATCGCTCTCTTTCTAGTTATAATTTAATAATCTTGTTTTCTTAATCATTCTTTATAAAGACACACGCAACCATAATCACATTTTTTTCAATATTAAAAACTCCTAACCATTTTCAAAATTATCTCAAGGTATTGTTTACCTCTTCAATTGCTTTTTTCTTGAAGCAGAACATTTTTACTTTGAAAAACCTCTGCATTTTTTCACTGCCATCTAAATTTTTTAGCGGACTTTTGGTTCAGCTAATTCTGCATTTTATAAAAATGATCACTGGTGGAGACAACCTTGATACATAATCAGCGATTACTGATTGGTTAGTGAGAGTAGAACCATTTTGCATTAAGAATTTATTGTTTTCGGAAAAGCAAAGACAATTTTAATGCCATGCTCAAACCACGCCATTTCCCAAACTTGGTCCATTAGCAAGCAATTTTTACGAAAAACACGAGGCGTTTAGCAGTTTGAATCTGTAAGGTTAGTTCGGTGACATTGTATATATGAACATGTGCAAAAAATGAGTATACAAAACGTACGCATTAGACACTTAAAGTGCAACTGAGTGATTACGTCATTTGACATTAGCACAGGTCATCGTTTTTTATTGTAAATATTTATCCGAAGCTCGCTTGCTAGTCCACCATCAAACACCTCCCCCCCCCCGCCATGTATTCCCTCTCAAGGTTTTGTGTGCAATTGCCGTTTTAAAGTGTGACGTCATTAAAGAAAGTGTATTTTTAAAAATTATGTCTTTTGACCTCATAGCCTAAACAAACGCCATAAGATAACTTTAATTAAATCACAAATATTGGATGAAATATGGCTAGGAAAAGATTCGAAGTTTGCTAAAGGAGTATTGCTATTTTGGCTTGGTTCATAAAGTTATGAGCAGAGACCAAATTACCGTGATTTGATAGCGAAAGCGCTTGTGCTCATATGGCTGGATCTCAGCCAATTTGTAACAAATTCAGCTGTTTTCGCACATATAGTGGAATTCCACGATGCTCTTTTAGTCTATGAGGTTCAAATTCGAAAAAGTCTAAAATGGTTTATGGCGTCATCGCATTTCTAGGAACACATGTCGTGCCTTGCTTTACAAGAAGAAAAATTTGTGATAATTTGTTAAAGATTTGTTTTAGTATAAGTTTGTTTTGCCAAGTATAAGTCAGCGATTTGAACATTTTTTTAAAACATATCAGTTTTGGCTTTCCTTTTGCCGTTGCCCTTTGTAGGAAGAGGGGGTTCAGAGAGGGCGAAACTCCCTCCCTGTACTGTTAAACTGCTACTTTGTCGGAAAACTTCTGGTCTTGTCGGAAATTCAACATTGTTGTCTATTTTTTGTCTATTGTTATGTTTTGATAGGGAAGGTTTTAGAGCTAAGTGAACATAAGATTACCTGAATATATCAAAAGATTTTTCCTTTTGTTCTGATGTCGTTATGTTCCGTTCAAATTTTATGAAAAAATAAAAACGCTTATTAGATTTTTGTCAGAAAGTCTAAGTTTCTCGCCCCTCCTATGAATTTTCCTATCCACGCCACTGTTAGCTTCATCAAGCGCTTGTATTAGAGAAATAACTGCCGTTCCAAGAAGAAATTCAATATTTGTTTTCCGTTCTAGACGACGCTAAAGAGTTACGACGGACATCTTTTCAAAGTCAATCGATCGATAGAAGATTTTGTTTGGTTCCGAGGAATACTGCAAGTAGGTATATTAATGCACAAGTAAGGTTTGCTAGAGGCCACAAAATTATTCGCTAAATTTCACCAAGATACCCTGAAACCTTTTCCTGAATTTTCAGAATATGTTACAGAACATTTTGATGACCACACCAATTTCCTTAATAAGTTTCTTATCCTCTGTAGTTTGAATTGTGCGAAAGATTTCGCTAAAGAAAAGTCGGATACGATATATCGAATAACCATACAAGAAATAAATTACTATAAAAGAAATTTCGCGATCTTCCTAGTTTTAAAGACAAATCTTACATAACTGCCGACCAAATTGCTGACAGAAGAGGCTTGTTGACATTGCACAAATCTAATAAGGTCACCAGCGGTGCCAAGATATGGTTTTGGGGGGGGGGTTATGACGCCCCCACTTTGTCAGAACATGGTCCACATGTTTCTCCTAAAAATAAAGAAAAGTTGCATTAGGTAGGGGTAGGTCATATTTTTTCAAAATTCTTCTTAGTAAAGTTTTGTTCTTATTTGTTCTTATTCGTTACTATTGCAATTATTTTATATGTAGTTTAGTTCATAATTGTATTTTAATTCCTGTTTTTGTGTAGTTTAGAATGGCCCCCCTTAAGCTAGTCTTTAACTGAAGGTTACCATATGTAAAAAGATAAATTGAGAATGAAATAAAGGATCGCTAATTGTTGAATGTTGTCTCCAGCTATATTAATACTAAATACCGTCATTACTTGATTTATATATATTTAAAGCTAAAATTAAGTTTAATAATGTATCTATTTAGCTACCAAGGAGTTGGGTTTTAATTTGCTTATAGCTAGAAAGATAAACTTCTTACTACTTTTTCGAACAACTCGTTAGGAACATCTTTTTATTTTCCTCAAAATTGTATTCTTCAGGTTATCTGCGCCAGTAGAATAGTACCTAGCATAAGGCTGCATGATTCTGCAAGCGGTATGTATTGCCACATTTACCCCTGATTTACTTTAGTTTTCAGCATTATCACTCCCTATTCTGGACTTATTTTTCAGCATTTTCTGGACTTATTATTTGCCTTATTAGCTTCTTTATTTATAAAACTTATGCTCCCATTGTTAAGCCTCTGAGAAACAGAATTCATTTTAAAACCAGCGTTATCTTATCTGCAACATTTCACCAACCATCCCGGCTTATCTATTCTGTTGTTGACTGCAGATTTTAAGCGCTGTTTTTTCTGAGAACTGTTGTCAAAACTATTTTTGTATCTGCTTATAAGGCCTGCCAAATTGATTGTAAAGTTACTCATTAAGTCATTCCATAAATGAAAGACTAGGGACACATTAATCTCCGAATACTTCAAAAATGTCTTGAGTTAGACGGTTTCAATCTCGGCCTAGTCCGATAAACCTTTGACATATATGGCTGAAATTCTATTGTTAAGCGAAAATTTATTCAAAAGGAGTTCGTTTTCACCTTAGGACTCCATTGGTAACATTCTCAATAGGCAAGCGGCACTGATTGGTCAACCTATACAGTCATGTCCGCGTGTTTCTGATTGGCCTATTTCGATCCACAACTGGGTATATATATTTCCCAGCGTAAAGTTTTCGGTCTATGTTCTGACGTTTCAAACTCTGAAGAGTGTCAGACGAAAAGCTTTAGTTTACTAAATGTTTGCTTTTTTCAAAGCCATTTACAAGTTTTGTACCACCAAAAGATTGTTCGAAAATTTATTGTTAACTTGTTTGGCGATTTAATTGAAAAATCAATTTCACCAGTCCCTGGGGACTAAGAACATTTCCCTGAAGTACATTCTGTTATTATTTCTAATTTTGTTGCTCTATGGTTTTTAAGGACGTAAGCCCATGTAAACCTATATTTGAAATATTTCTATGCACTTGAGATTTGTGTAACCATGGATACACGAGCCTAGAGACACGAAGTCAATGTCCAGAAGAATCTCTTCCGTTGGAACAGAGACAGTTACAATTGTAATATTGCGGGGTGATAATGCAGGAATTTTTTTGGGTGGGAGGTGCTGATGGTTTAAAGAGCAGAAATTCTTCTTTCATCAACATTTGGGTCTTTTTTCAGATCCACGAAGTTTATATTTGTTCTGATAGGCATCTGCCCTTTTTGTTATGGACAATTATGTAGAAAAATTTTCTTCTTGCTTACTCCATCGTCGTCAAACAAATTTAGATGTTTCTTTTCAGTTTACTCTAATTTCCGTCTTGGTAGACTGAAAATGGTTCTTGTAACATTGTTGTAAATACCTTTCAGTAATGCCAAAGGGTTCTAAATGAAGAAATTATATATATTTTTTTAAATTGTGCGATGGATGTAGATCAGTACGTATAACAAGGTGCTGAACAATGGTTTTCTTTGTGTGCCTAGAATATGAGGGTTCTCTACGGTTTTAATTTCAATGCGCTCATTTTTAGGAAACTTCAGAGAAATACAGAGGTTTTTAGGACGGCTTACTAATCATAAGGTGATTAAACCTGTTTTGCAATAAAAATACTTTCACGATAAAATGTGAGATCTCAGGCGAAATGTTTTTTCATTTCAAAGTTGACATAAATTGTAGATTCCTAGAAACATTGGTTTTAACATGTCAGAAATCTTTAATAACTTTCAAAGCTTGCAACTTTTTGTGACTTCGTTGTTCTCTAAAGCATTTTTGAATTTTCAGAATAATCAAAATTTTGGATTTAGAGTTTTGCAAAAATAGTCCTTTTTTGACGTCTTTGAGGATTCGATTTTCTTGAAGTATCCATTTAAACCTGAGAAAATGGACAGAACTCTCTTAAGAGCATCTCTTTAAAACTATTTTATGCATTATTTAACGACTTACCAATTTAAAATCAGAGAAGGAATCTTCTTATAGATTTTTTTTCTTTTAAGGTCCTCAAATCACACGATTTTGTCAGAGATTTTCTCACGAAAAAGGTACGTGCAAGAATTTGGTTCTCGTTAAACATTCGTTTTTCTGAGTGACATATGATTTATTAATTGACACAAACTGTTTGTTGTTGACTTCTTGACAAGAATTTTTTGTCATGTTACCAAATATGAAGCTTTTTCTAGAATTTCTACATATAAATCTAGAGGGTTTTACGAATGACAATCCACTCTTAAAAAAATGCACGAGATTTCAGCATAACAAAATATTTTCTAGGGATCTTTAGGATAAAACAATAGGATCCCGTCAACGATGTAAACTATTTCAATCCTTTGCTGTTTTTGGAAAACAAAAGTGTCATCCTTTTATATGCAAATAAGTGGAAGAGTTTTGAAATAGAAATGTTTGTTTTTGGTTGTTTTAAGTACGAAAGTTTTTGTTGATAAAGTTTTTTTGAATCTGACTTGATTTTACAAAGATACTGTTGTTTAGGATCTTGACAGTATGAGAAAACGATATGCTGATAAAGGCTCGCGTTTGGCAACACCAAATCGGAAACCGAAGTCGAATCACCCAGAAGAAAACAGTCTTTTATTCAGAGCATTTGTGAGTGCCAGTAGCAACAATTTTTTATTGAGAATTTCAACCTTGTGGATGTTATTTACACCAGAATTTGGTCTTGTGTGCACGAAATAGAATGGCGTTCTTTTGATTAAAAAGAGTTCACCTATATAAGATATGCATTCTGGGAGCCCAGTCTAAACAACGCCCTCATTTTCAAAATATTTTTCGCACAAATCTTTGATGCTCGATTGGGATTGAACATCTGTTGTTTATATCCTAGGACGGTTATGTAAGATATAAATTTTTGTGAATATTTTAAAGAGATTGCTTATTATTTGAGAGGTAATGCAGCCCTGTAAATTAGAACCTCCTTTGCAAAATAGCCTCCTTTGGAAAAATGTGTCCTTTGACAAAAAAGAGCCTCCTTTGCAAAAAAAGCCCCTTTTGCAAAAGAGCCTCTTTTGCAAATAGTATCCTTTGCAAAATAGTCTCCTTTGCAAGTGAACCTCATTGTAAGAGAACGTCCTTTATAACAGAGTATGCCTTCTTTGAAACCCAACCACCGTTTTGACAAAAACCTCCAATATTCTTGAATTTATAGTACTGTCAGCTTTTCAAAGAATACTCATAACATTTCTCGTATACTTTTTAGAGTTACATTACTATTTTGATGACGAACTTGGAGAATCTAGCTTGCCACTTCAAAGAGCGAATGGAGAGAAAAAGTGTGCAAGGTGGTTAGTTCTATTTTATCTCTTCATTTTACAAGCGACTCCGCTTATATATTCTCCTCTTAAAGTACCGGTAAAAGACGCCTAAAATTTGGGCTCAAATGCTCAAAACTGTTTATTTTAACTCTATTTACTGCGACACCCCGTTTAAAGTCACAAATTTCATTCATGCAGCTTTGTGTGACTTTCACCGGTGTTTACTATAGTAGCAGAAAAGCAGTTGTAATAAGCCATGCTGCGGAGTCGTACTGTGAAGTTGTTTCTTCTCTACTCTCGAACATTGCAGTTTTGGCTAAAAGAGGAGCTAAAAGTCAACCATGAGCTTCAGTTTTCACAGAGTTTTACAATGAGATCAACATTTTGAACTTTGGTCAATCGATTACTTGACGTTTTATGGCTCCCTGCTTATAAAGACAATGGTGTTTCCTCTGGTATCAACAGTATTAATCGTGGCGTCCTGCAAGGCTTCTGTCTAGCACCACTACTATTTCAAGTATATTGGAATAATTTACCCTACTAACTTGAATAATGAGATTTTTTTATTTACAAAATGAAACAAACGTTAATTCTAAACGTTAACAACAGTGTGCCTGAATTCAAAGAAGGAGTTTATCTCACTGTACCTAAAACGTGGTCTTCAATAATTGGCTCAGATCAACATATCCAAAAATTGGTTTGAAAGAAGCAAGGATTCTAAAACATACTTAAGCTTTTTGTGTTAAACTCTCCAGGTGATGAAACGTCTTAGTCAAACGTCAAAATTTAATAATGATGGAAGATTCTAAGACAGAAAATATACATGCCCAGTTGTTGATGCAGTTAGGTCGATTAAAACCTGAAGCACGTGGCTGTAACAGTTTCCTGCTAAGTTCCTATTGTAAATTTTCCTGGTTTAGAATTTTTAATCATTTTTCTGACTTTATATACTGTGATTGTGTGTCAGACGAAAAGCTTAACTGATAAATATTTCCTTGGGATCCAACTTGGCAATTAGGTTAGATGGGATATTAGCTCAAATATCATATTAAAATTTATAATGTGAAGAGCAAAGCCTTTGAAGAAATGTGCCGCTTCCATGTTGAGTCCCATCTGAGTAACGGTCACCGAATCGTGGAGTTCTGGTTATTAGGCAGGGCTGCACACATCGTGACAAAGGGAAATCCTGATCGCTCTTTTCTTATCCAAGAGCTTGGATGGCCAAATATGGGCGTACACATACAAAATAAACTACTGATGTAACGTAAAACTCGTCTGTGTTCGCATGCATGAACAAATGTTTAAAAAACCTGCATATTTGTATGGTAGAACACTTGAAAAGATCTTCAAATGCCTCTAGATAGAAAATAAAAGGAGCTTTGGCCAGAAGTCCTTCAAATTTTCAATCTTTAGATAATTGATATCCTAATTTTATTTCTTATTGTTAATTTAACACCTAAGGTGAAAGTAGCCTGTGACACTGTATCACGGCCCTTGGAAAACAGTCCCTCTTCATAAATGGGCCACCGTGACTGAAAAATGAAGCGAACTTTGAACGTAAAGCATACTTTTGAGACTTTTCCCGTCTCGCCGACTCCTTTACAATCAGACTATCATTTTAGAAAATGATCACAATAATTATTGAGCTTTGTATTTCAACTAGCCGTCTTTCTTGACTGACGAACTCCCGGAAAAAATGAAAATGAGCTGAAATGAAAGTTTAAAAGATAATAGAAATTTAAATATAACGAATGCCTATAAGCCTGTTTAAAATAAGTTTTTGTGAATTCTTTCTTGTTGAACAAGGTCTTTTCTCACATGTCAAAACAAAGTACGATAGGATGAAGAAAGTTTCCGATTTAATTGATAACTTGTCGAAATTTAAAAAGTCTCTTCGGATTGTGTTTATTGAACAATTGAACAGGATTGAAAATAATTAAACTATGCAGATTCTTCAATGATGCCTCTTATTTTTGTGCAAAAACCTTATTACACTGAATTTTTTTCGTAGACTTAATCAAGCTGCTTTTAAAGAAAATGTTTTAATTGAATCTAGCTTAATTTAAGTAGTGACTTAAACTAGCGCAGTCTAATTTTGACCTGATATTATTGAAGAATGAAAGCATATATCCAGGTTTGCGGTCCAGTGTTATTTGTAATTTTTGTTAAGTCAGTATTTAAGACTAAGACAATAAGGAAGATTGACCTATAAGACAATCTTTTCATCAACTTGTAATTTGTAAATGAAGTGAAGGCGATATATGGTTTACTACTTATATCCTCTGCACTTATAGCAATGTCATGAATTTGATCGTTCTGGAACCCTTCAAACTGCAGCTTAATTAATGACATCAAATGTAATAATATGAAAAATAGGTCTTATTGTATTTGGCTTCATTTATTACATCATATAATACAAGTCTTTAGTCTAATTTAGTTTAATAAGCTACTTAATCTATACGACTAATCTGAATCTTTAATCTATTTATTCTTTCTTTTTAGATGGCGTGAGTCGTCGATTCAGTGACCTAAGCGATGGGGAAATCAACGAAACATATTTAAAGGTTGAATTCTGTTTCACTTTGTTGCATGTCTTGAATTTTATAATTCTCAACGATTAATCTGATAGCCCATATTCTCAAGGAGAATATGAACCTACATTGTTCATCAGAGATCGCTTGATCGTTATTGATCGTGATAATCACAACGGTGATCATCACCAATCAGCCAATCACGACCATGGTAATCAACCAATTATGGTTATCAATCTATGATCAAAGCCAATCGTGCTAACCAATCAAGCTTGCTCAACGTAATCAACCAATCATAGTCATGGTTATCAATCTATGATCACAGCCAATCGTGCTAACCAATCAAGCTTGCTCAACGTAATCAACCAATCATAGTCATGGTTATCCATCTATGGTCACAGCCAATCGTGCTAACCAATCAAGCTTGCTTAATGTAATCAACCAATCATAGTCATCGTTATCAATCTATGGTCACAGCCAATCATGCTAATCAATCAAGCTTGCTGAAAGTAATCAGCCAATAATGGCAATGACCAATCATGGCTATCAAGTTCTCATCAATACTGGTGATAACCTTCCAAAGCTATATGTATAGAAAGACAGCGTAAATAAAGTGTTTTGTAACGTCTGGGGTTTGACAAGATGCAGTGCTTGGTCCATTGCTTTTTATGAAGTGATGCATTTCGTTTTTTCTTTATAAAAAAAATCCAGCGAACTTTTTTTCTTTGAAAGAAAGTTATTTGCCTTTAACGAAGCTACATCTCACATATGACTGAGATTTAAATGTTTGTCAAATTTAAATGTGACCTTAAATTTCCTATTTGACGGCAAAACAAGTCTTTTACCACAAATGCATGTCTATTTCGTGAGCACATAATTTTTTGTTTTTTAAACAGAAGAAGAACTGGTTTTAAGCTTAATACAGCTTAATAAGACGGCTGCTTTATATCAAATTATATCCATGTTTTCCCTTGATACTCTATTCCGACTGTTTATTGAATTTGCTTTCAATGTAATTTTCAAGTTAATTTAAGCTCAGATCTCGTTTTTCATGACGATCAGCTGCTACATGTTGTCACCAAAGCATTGCTCTTTCCTGTAGCATTTTGTCTATTTGCACACTACCTAGGATCGCTGTGTCAGAACAGCTCAAATTTGCCGACAGATAGATTGCATTTAAAATCTCCTATGCTCAGTTTATGACAATTCATAGTAAGTCTTTCTTACCATGAAAGACTATTCATTTGCCCTTTATAAGAGACATGGAGCCTGGCAGTAGGTTATTTTCCTTGTAACCGTATGCCTATTGACCACAAAAAATTACAGGAAAATGATTTTTTCTTGCAGAAATTTTTTATAGACTATCACAAAGAATTTACTAGCAAAATGTTGATGATAACGTCTTAAGTTCTGTTTTGTATATAAGTATCATTTGCTTTTTGCCAACAAGACAATTTTCATTGCATTCTGGAGAATTTCGATATCACAAATTCCAAACTATTTCAACAGAAATTTTATTCAGATTTTTTATAGTCACATGAAATCTATTAAATCTCAACGTTCTGGAACCTGGTGCTAAAAAATTTGATGATGATAGCATTTGCAAAAACAACTATGTTGCGGTTGTCAGTTTCCAATGATCTTCCCAGTTGCAGTGGTTTTGTAATACTTAAATTAATATTTATATTACTTATAATGGCTCATTTTTAATATAAGTAAAAAATATGGAAAAAAAGTCCATCTAAACCAAAATCTGAAGCAGTAGAAATTATGTGAACTTAGGCTTAAAAGATTAACGTTTCGTGTGAGTATTATTTGTCAATATAGAGAGAAAGGTATATGACGATTTACTTATAAAAATATTACACAACATTAGAAAATATAAATATGATATGGATTCGGCAAAAATGCAGAATGGTGAACATAAGATAATGCTTAATGCAGAGAATCCTTAATGATATTGAAACGAATCGCACGTTTGTAAGAATCTTCAAAAGAGCAAGCATATGAACATATTGAAAAGAATCGCAAGTTTATAAGAATCTTGAAAAGAGCAAGCATATGAACATATTGAAAAGAATCGCAAGTTTATAAGAATCTTGAAGAGAGCAAGCATATGAACAACCTGCTAATATTTCTTCTGCAGATTGCTTGTAGTGGTTTGAGCAGAATCACTCAGGAAACTGGCATAAAAAAGGTAATTTTTTCATGATGCGATGACAATTTTGGTTTACCTGAAACCTCTACAAATCTGGCAAGAATTCTTCTGTTTTCCTACAACGTAACGGCTTGTTTTTCTTTACGAAAATCGTCATTAGACCATGTCATCATTTTATGTTATGTTCCTTCCCCATCTTCTGGTTAATTCTGCCGAACGGTTCAAAAAAATTTTTTATATTTGAGTAGTCCTGGATTGCATCAAAATCGAACAGTTGGTCCAAGAACAATATTTTTTTATGCTTGTCATTGTAACTCCGTTTCCGTTAAAATTTCGGTTGAGTTTGTTTAGTACGTTTTATAGCTTCTTTGTTCTTGTACGTGGGTGAAAACACACGTTTGTTTCTCTTTGAACCAAAATTATAGCTAGGCCAATAATATAATATAAGTGTTTACAATAAAGCATTAAACACTACTTATTTCAATAAGGCTTATTAATACAAGAGAAATACAGCAAAACGAAAAACGAAGTCTTTCCAAATGTTTTAAAGCATCAGATTTAAGGTTCCGATGTAAATAGATTCAACAACTTGAGAAATCTGAATTCTTCCTTCATGTCATTTTCAAACGTTTTAGACTTTGTCCAATGTTAGACGATATAAGGATTGGTTTGCAGAGATTTTCTAACATTTTACAACATCCAAACGCTTTTCATATGACACTCCTCAGAGCATAAATTCACGTCAGAATAAGGTCCCGAAATGAAGAAGATGCAAAATATATCCCCAGTTGTGGATCGAAATAGGCCAGTTAGAAAAACACAAGCACAAGACCGGTATATTTTTTTGCAAAAGTTCTTGTTTATATTTATAGATATTTTTATGAGATAACCCTCGCTGCTGTTTTCGTTTTAGGAGGATTCTCATGAAGCAGCCCTCGTTGAAGAAATAGAGAGTCTCCTCGGAAATGTAAAGGAAGCCGAGGTAAGTTGGGCTGTTGATTGCTTTGTATTTTGAATGGGAAACATTGTTGTTTTATCCCGAATAAAGTCCTCGTTTGCACGAGACACGATCCGGGCAGGCTTTTTAGTTTGATGGAGGGGAAGTTGGAACTAGCTGATGGAGGGGGCGACGAAGGGGAGGAGCTACAGGATACTCTCGTTAAGTGGGACATTCAAGGGACCGCGTAAAGTGTTCTAGTTAGCGGGCGTCCTACTTATCCGAATGCTTGAAAAAGGTAAGCAAGTTCAAGGGACCGGGAAAATCTGTACTTCATAGCGGGCGTCCTACTTATGCAGGGTACCACATAACGAAAGTATACTTTATTTCTTTAGCAATCTAGGAAGCAAGAAGAGGGTAAGTGTTCGTCAAAGGTAAGGGTAAGTAAGGGTAAGTCAACAAGCGCTGGGAAAGAAACATGAGTTATGGGACAGAGTTCGCAAAGTTGGCACAGAGACTTGGAATTAGTGAGCACGGGAAAGTTTCTGGTGTGCTCAGGGGATTGGGGGCAGGGTAATACCTCTTATCTCGGAGAGCAATGTGCGTGGTTGTATTTGTTAAAGGATTGATAGATCAGCAGCAAAACGCCGATGAGGAAGAGGTGGAGAAGTTTTGTAAGATCGGAGTTGTTGATAAGATGAATGGCTTTTGATTGGATTTTGTCTTTAGAAGGTAAAGAAAATCTAGGAGCGCCACCCCTAATATGAGAGCAGTACTCTAAAGAAGGAAGAATATGAGGTTTATACATTGTCAAATGTTGACCATTGAGCGTGAGAAGTAGCACATGCGTTGGAGAGGAATCCAAAATCTAAACAGGAGTGGATCTTGATCTAATATCGTGTAAATAGGGTCTTAAACGACACGATATCTTGTTTAGATTCGGCTCAAGTAAAGCCACGTGTGAAAATTTTCTCAAATAGGTATGGATAGCAGGTCCAAATGCGTTCGGATCTGCAAGGTCTCGGGTAGACGCAAGGCTGATTTCGTACCAGTTTGGGTACACATCTAATTGGACCCGATACAATTGAAAACGGGGTTTGAATCTTGCTTGGTTGTACGCTTCTGTTTTATCCCTTGCTTTGCTGCGCCAGCCCACCTTTTGTAATTTAAGAGACACAAAAATTATATATACTTAATGTTTTGTGATTGATTCAAAGTTTCTAAGATTTCGGGGTGGTACAAAATATTGCCACGAATTCACTTCTGGACGATTTTGCTGTATAACAATAGCCTAAAAATGACAGTTTTTTTCAAATGATCTAAAGAAAGGCAAAGGTATGATTTTCTTCCTTGGAGCAAATCGAAAAAGGAAGAGGGATTAAAGTTTTTTTAACCGATATTAAGGCTTGTTGGATGGCTTTGCATTCCCAGTGTCGAATCTCTTATAAAAGCTTCTTATAAGAAGCTGGACAAATGCCATACTGAAATTTATTCGCCAAGTCTCTTTTTGGTGCTTGCCTCGTTATCACTGCGTACAAGGTCTTCTATGGGTTTTTGATCCTTGAATATTCGATTTAAACACATTAAGATTTACCAATAGAATGAGTTGGCTTGGTATTCAGCTGGTTCGGCCAAAATTCAGGAGTGGACGGCTCATAAGGTTTCCCTTGATTATTATCTGTGTCATTTTCCCACCACTGAGACGAACGACGGATGAAATCTCCAATTACCATACTATATAGGTGCCTGCAGCCAGAATCAGAATTTTCATGGGATTTTCAAATTCAACATGGTTTTGACTAGAGCTCCTATCAACCACAACCTAATACTTTTCTCTGTAAAACTGGATTTTTACAGATGATGCATTCTGGGAGAATTCTCAGTTCCGGGAGCCTGATAACTAAGAATTATTTGCATGAAGCCAAACTGAACCACGTTCACTACTCAAAGGGACGGTTTTTAAGTCAAAAAAGGCGCACCCATTAATATTAAGTTTGCTTTCATCCACCTTACTTTCGAGGTGAGTATTTGGTCTGAAGTCAAGCATATATCTTGAATTGGCTCGAAGGAGGAAAGCATGGAAAAATCATGGTCTACAATGCTGTTTAGATACAAATCTAGACAAAAGGTGACCCATTAATTGTAGTGCACGTAAATAAAAGTGCGCGTTATAAAACCACGAAAGTAAAGAAGCACTATCTTTATTATATAGCTGCAGTCAATAAATATTAATAGTAAGAATATTCTGCCAAATCTCCTTTTCGAAGAAGTTACTATTACTTAAACACAGAATTGTCAGGAGAGACATCGTGTTGTAAAGGTCTAGGCCGGTGCACAAAGAAAATCCAACTTGTGAGATTATAGGTCTTAATTCATGTTAGAAACTGTGCGTATCCTACCATACCACTAAGCAACTCTTGCTAGCAACTAATTACCCCCGAGGTCATTTGCCGAAGAGGTTTGTCAACGCAGTTGATGCCGGGGGAAAGGACTGGACACCAGCCTGAATAGCTAGGAATATTTAATCCATATTAAAGAACTGGAATTCCCAGTCAAATGAGTCTCGGGAGTTGTAAAAGTTGAGTTGATGAAGATTTTCATAGTTTAACATATTTCTTGATCATGCAAAAATATTATTTTCATGTTATTATTTTGGATATGCAGCAATTCGGTTTATACTTGCTTAAAACAATGATCAGTTTTCCATAAACATCTCTAACCTTAAAAGAGAAAATTTTCGAACAAAAGTTGATTATTTTATGAGCGGAAATGGAATTGGTATTGGTAAAGATTGTATGTGTACAATGTCCTACTTTATTCTCCTTTTTTGAAACAAAGACTGAAAGGAAATTGCCGGACAACATTGCCGGACAATATTTCCGGACAACATTGCCGGACAACATTGCCGGACAACATTGCCGGACAGCATTGCCGGACAGCATTGCCGGACCACATTGCCGGACAACATAGCCAAAAATATCGCCAAAGAAGCCGAATTGTTTTTCATGCTAAACATTCTGTCCGCTAAATTTGTGTACGTCCGCTGAATATTTTGCACTTTGTGGTATGTAGTTTTATGTAAATTGATTGGAACCCATATAGACCTTGCTTTCTCGTTTCAGAACTTGCTGAAACGAATCGAGGCCAAGCGGGACAATTTCCTTTACTGGAACGAGCAGATGACGCTGTACGAGCAACAGAACGTGAGTCTTGTCGTATACATGATTACTTTGTTGCATAATTCAATGGCCTAGCTTAACCGCCCAACAACATGTAGGCGTCTCCATGTTTTCATTTCCATTTCAGGACATTTCTCTTAAGACCATTCCTTTTAAGGTTTGTGGAATACGTCACAAAGCATTTGAAAGCAAGGAAGTATGGTTTGATAATCATTCGCCGCTTTTAAATTGCACATCATAACTGTGGCAAACGGGGTTGAAGGCCTGTTTAAACGATTCTTTGAATAGGCCTAAGTAATTTTCCTATTCAAAAGATATAGTTTTTTATTAATTTTTTTTAAACAGATTCATACAGGGTTCCAATTCAATATTAAAAAACATGTTTTGTTTCCGAGTCAAGATCATTCCTAACTGTTTCGAGTCAAGATTTAATAACATTTTTATGTTTTGGCGATAGATTTAGGAAATTTGAAACCACAGATTTTCATGCTATAAAATAAAGCTCAACCTAGGCAATGGCCTAAATGGTGATTTCAGATTTCAAGTAAGGCAGGAAATGTGTTGTAACAGGTATCGTTTATTAAGAGACTCTATTTTTCTACAACAGCAAATTCTCAGTATGCCTATGAATTTTAACAAAATTAAACATATTTTCCCGGAATATTATTGAAAATCGTTATTTAATTTATATATTCATGCAAACTTTTAGCTGATAAATCATCCCCGAATTGTCTATGAAATTTCAGGAAGAAATTGATTTTCTTTCTTTTTTTCAACCACCATTAAGAATTATGAGCTAAGGCCAGTCTTATATGTGTCATGGCTACAGAAGACATCGTTTGGAAATGTTTTCTGCAAAATGGCGTGAAAAATTCTTTGTTACCTTATTAGAATCAGCGATTTGATCAAATCTTTTGCTTGTCAGCCAAAAACCAAAATGGTTCCTACAAAACATTTCATGTGTTTTGAATAAAAATGGTTTTTACTTTTTTTTATCAAGCAGTAAAAAGTGTGAATTTCAAAACGCCCTGGGACAGCGGTATCGGTATTAATAGCCTTTGGAGAATTGTCTCCGGGAAAGATAGTATCTTGGGGAAACAAATTATTTTATAAACAGTCTCTCTGGACACGCCCGTAACGAACCAGGGTCACGCGATGCAATTCAGATTTAGTTTCAATCTGTTTTTTTAAAGAAGACAAACACAAATATTTACTCGTTGTGTGGTTTATTCTTAATCGGATTCCGAAAGCGATGAAGCAAAGTGAACTTCTGTGAAATATTTCTAACAACTTTCATTTGATAACTATAAAGGTTGTTCCCGATTTATCTTTCAATTTAGCAAATCTTTTCTATTGCAAAACTCATTTGATTGGTATTCATTATTGGCTCTTGATACCAAGCGAAATCTATGTTATTTAGTTGTCTAGAAGTGGTTATGGGGTTTTATTTACCAATGCTAGCAAGTCGCTAGCTGGATGGGTGAATTTATTTAACAGTTTTGCGAATTTGTACCCGAATTTAATCCTTTTTGCACACCTGGTGCTTCGAATGTCCGGTACAGAGAAGCAAAGCAATAGATTTCGCAATTACACAAAGAGCAAGTTTTCAAGTGAATACATGATGCATATAAAACTCTAAGAGATACATTTGTCAAGTATCATTGCTTGATATCGTTACATTATTAAGATTAGAATATTAATTGACTAATCTAAAAAGATATTAAGCCTTAATATTTTTCTATCAGAGATGCAAAGGCTTCTGCGACTACTGTGCTTTGCCATGACAGACACAAAAAATGGGCAGGGGGGGGGGAGGAAGGGGCTGCAGCCCACCTGTCTTTAGCACTTTAGTAAATTTGTAATTATGCTAAAAGCACGGACGAGCGAAAACATATCATACTAAATTACTTTTTGCCGAATATTCCTCGGAATATAAATATCGGATACTGTCCAAAAGTAAGTGGCAGTGATTGGTCAAAAACAAAGAAACGACCAAACGCGCTATACTTCCTCTCACGTGACTTTCGATCCACATCTGGATATATGAATTTCTGCTTACCTTTGGACATTGTCCGACGTTTATACTCTGACGAGTTTAGGACAAAAAGTGCTTTATTATGATATATTGCAATTTATATTGCTTTTCGATGCAATTTTGCAATACGAAAGGCTTACTGAATTATGTAAACAAAAATGAGGTCAAATAACCTTAGTAGAAGACATGCTGTCGGACGTGATGGTTGACCACTTTCGATATAGCTATTACTGAACATGCAAACAAACAGCTTGTATAAATCTGCATACAACAGTATTTTCTCGCACTCTCCGTTCCTCTGAAATAACAAGATAAATTATTAACACTTGTATCAGCTCGTTTAGCCTTACTCTCCATTTGTTTTGATTCATGTGTAGGCGTAGGCCTATTATGACATTGTTTCTGTTTGTTGGTGAGCTTTGGGGCCTGTTTACGCTATTTACAGCATTTCTATGTTCCAGTCGATTATATTCTTAATTAAAGGCATATGTCGCATTAGCAGTTGGCTAAAAAAACAAAAGCGTTTTGAATGGAATTCCATTCTTTCGTGACTTTACATTTCTTCTCAACTAATTTTTTCTGCCGTGAAATTTCACCCTCGATTCCATGCTTTGTACTAAACAAAAGAGATAATTGTATTGCATTAACCAATCATGTTCACGACACATGTCCTTTAAGTTAGGATAGCAAAACTGTTCTGGGAAAACGTGAATTCTGGGGAGGAACCACTTCAACTTTCTGGTTGTTCTTTATCAGAACCGTTTGCATCAAGAAGAATATTGTTATCTCCAAAAACCAGCACCGGTGTTATCTTTAATTGAATTTAAGAAGTGTCAGTTAAATTTTTCCTTGGTTTACCATCTATTGAATCTGTTCTGTGGTAGTTATTAAACTTGAAATAAAAATTTTAAGTCAGGATAAACCCCCCAGCGAATGAGCCTGGAGACATGCGGGTCATCCTTGGATCTTAAACTACCCCCTGTTCATAATCGTTGAGCCTCGTTTACTTGTCAAGTCTTCTCTGACATTGCCTCGTTTACAAGAAGTCTCTCATCTGTCTCTGTTCCCTGCTCGGTTTTGTTGATGTCATTCAGCATTGGAAGTTGCACTGCGCTTGCCTTTACCCTAAACTTGAACCTGAATGTCTCCCTCAGTCTCTTTTTGTACTCTTTGTGAATGAATAAAAATACAATTGGCAAGGTAAGAGTCGATCCTTTGGCAAAGAGGCTGGGGATCGTTTTTGTTAGCGGGCTCATCATTGTTGGATTGACCATTGTAACGAAGCAAACAATGGCATAGGGTGCCCATATGCAGAAGAAAGAAACGGTCAAGATGACTCCGAGCCTCATTAGAAGGTATTCTGCGTGACGCTTGCTTCTTTTAGTGGCAGAGTCGGGTTTTAGCGAGTTCCGTTTGATGAAAAAGAACAGTCGGATGTAGAGAGCAGCCATTATAGCTATGGGAAAGAAGAACGAGGTAATAGTTGCTGAAATGTTGTAGGTTATATGTGATATGTCTGGTACATCCCATTTCAGTGAACAGCTTAGGTAAAGCCCCTCAAGGCCGTAACTAGACCAGCCCAACAGCGGGAGAATGCACCAGAACAACGACAACAGTGCGCAATGAATACTTGGCATAATTCTGCTACAGTAGTCCGCTCTTCTTTCCTGTATCGATTTCGAAGTCAGAATCGTGTAGTGTTGCCATGACAACAGTACCATGTGATAGATAGAGGTAAGCGCCAGCCAGTAAGTCAAGAATGCATAAAAAGTGCAGGCGTTATCGCCCCAGAACCATTGCTTGCCGAAGCAAACTGGCGTTACGAATATTTGATGGGCAATGCATTGAACAATATTGTCAATACAAAGAAACAGAAGCGTGAGAGTGACTGGAGTCTTCGAAGTCCTCTCGATGTCGTAAAGGATTTTGGTTGCCGTTGCATTGAAGATCAGGCTCGCGACGTTAGTGGATCCACTCCAAATGCCGATTGCATAATACGTGGTATTAGAAACCATCGTTTTGCAATGACGCCAAGACAAGCCACTTTACGCTACGGCTGCGAGTTCCTCTGCAAACACGATTAGTCTGAACCGTACGAAACTGTTTATAAGAAACAGCCGTATTTAGCAGTGAACAGCGGTTTACAGTGAGCAGATGGTGTTGTTTACTTCATTGTTCCATATCAGCCGTTAATTAAGGAGGCTTATGTGCATTCGCTCCCGTCTGTAATATTCATTAGTTTGTTCTCTTGGTACTATGTTGACGACTCTTTAGCTAGTTGCAAAGTAGGCCTAAAAAAGAACAAATACAGCATTTTATTGAACAAGCTTTCTTTGAGAATACGCGGATAAAGCGGAAACATATGACACTGAAGTACCTTTCGTCCGACACATTTCGACTATGAATGTCGGATGATATCCAAAGGTAATGCGGATCAAAAGTGACATGAGAATCGTCAAACAATTGCCAAAGTGTCAAACAATTTTTGAAGTTAATGAATTTTTTATAACAATCTCTTTTACTTATCACTTACTAATCTACTTATCACTTTCAGTTAATATTTAATTATTTATTTTTTTATCTTTTGGTTTATAATTTAAAGCTGTTTTTCGGTGGGGATGGCCACAGACACAGACATATTAACTTTTAGCTTCAAGAAATGCAAATAACATTCTTTAACGTGATTGGTTAAAGCCATTAAACTAATGACATCACTTTTTTATTGCGTCCAGTAATAACATCATGTTACTTTCCCCCATCAAGTTTGCAACGTTTGTCGTAAAAAAATCGTAGAGAATAGTAGATAGAAAATCGAAGAAAATCGCAGTTGCTGACGACAAATCCGCGAATATGCCTAAAGCTATACGAATTTACATTCTACTCTATTTTTGAATATCTAATCTCTGAAGGTTGTGAAAAGCTTCAGAAAAGTATAGCCACATTAAACACCAGATTAAATAGTGAGCTACTTCTTTTTGTATATTCAATTTGCTAGGTGGGTTTACTACAAGACATTTAAATCATTTGAATTAGAACTTTGCAAGAATCAGTTTCAGAACCATGTATGTGAACCTTGTTGGCACTAAATCATGGGCTCATAGGCGCCGACTTTTATTTTTCCCAGGAGGGGGGGCTCAAAATTTTAATTAAAAAAAATTAAAAAAGTTAAAAGTTAGAGAAATTCCCTGTCGCTTTAATAACGTTTAGTCTAAATTTTTTACAAGGGATTTCTTTGATTCAAATTATTCTTTAACAATAGATAAATTTCACATTTTTGAGACTTAGAATATACATATACCTTCCTTCAGCTGTTCTGCGCCAAATTTTCAGCCCAGTGGCGGATTTCAAACGAAATTCCCAGGGAGGGCTGAGCCCCCCCCCCATAGCAATTCCCAGAGGGGGCTCTAGCCCCCAAGCCCCCACGTAGTCGGCGCCTATACATGGGCTAGATATTCACAGGTGCATAGATGGCTAAGTGGCTAGAGTCCCTGACATGACCAGAGTGAGGGAGGTCGCAAGCACTCTGCTAGGCGTAGGAATCACGAGGTATTGTCACATCGAGAGGAAGGACCAGGACACTGCATGATAAGAAAAGCTTTGCGATTTTTAAAAAGCAACCTTCGGATGCTAGGCAGATACAAAAGCAAATACATTTACATGAAGTAATAAGCTGACCTTTTAGGTTGTAGACAATAGCGGCCTGTTCCTACGCAGCAGCCCCGTGCGATCCGGTTCTAAAGAAGCTAGATAAGCATGTTTCTAATCCGACATATGGAAGTATTTTCAAGAAGATACTTGACAGATGACGTCAGTGCATGGGGGTTTTCCATCAAAAGGGTTTTTTACAAGTTAAACTCAACTTTTTACAAGTTAAATGCCTCGTTTAAGGTTCTATACAATACATTCGTTCTATACGTTCGTTCTATACACTTCAACACGATTGAGCTACAAGCAATGGTGCTACTGAGGCGAAATGGTTCCACTCTGAATTACAAAGTGTTTCCATTAGAGTTTAATTGCCGGTCTCCAATTAATCGCGTAATTTATTACGAGTTTCGCTGTGATCGCTTAAGAGCCCAACTCAGCTGCGCATGCCTAAACTTAGGTCAATAAATACTTATCCTTAACATCTGCCTTGCAGCTCACGTATTTCACGGAAAACGTATTAGCGGAAACAATTAGCGCGGCGGAAAGTGCCAAGAATTGCATCTTTAAAGAAAAGAAATTCACTTGACAGGTCATTCATTTTTTACGTAACGCAAAAAACTGCCAATTTTTAAGACTGACCCAATGTTTGTAGCAAAGACCTTCCTGCAAGTGCCCTAGTACTGTCTTGTACAAAACTTTAAAGCTGAATATGACGTTTCCTCCCGTCGTTCTAGATAAGTTTGGCCCAAGGAACTGATCTGTTTAAGTTTAGTGTACCTTCCTTTTTTACTGTGAACGTTCCTGAACTGTCACTTTGAATACAACATTTTCCGTTTCCTCTTTCAAATCAAGATTTAGTGGAGCCTATTTGCAGGACTTACTTTTCATCTGGTCTGATCAACCATCTAAGGCCATTTAATGTTTGATGATTCTGATATGATAAAATACGTGGACAAATGGCTTACTAGTTTTTGGAAAACCCGGAGTTTAAATATATCATTTTGGCATAAGTTAGTAGAAGGAGCAATAATTTGTAGCATAGTAACAGCGAAAGTTAGAATGCATAAAATGCAAAGCAATGTTTTATAACGATTACAAAAAAGACATATGGTTGAAAACATTTCGTATAGACGCTGGAGAGCCGGATAATCCATTCACCTAGGTGAAAATAGTGTAAGGTGATGATCGGAAAAAATGGAAGTGGAATAATGTTCAGCTTGGCGAATGATACCAATTCAGTCTAAGCAACTACAAAATGGAGCCTTAAAGAAACTGTCAAGTCGGCATATTCCACTTTCGACACAATACTAAAATGCGTCGCGATCTTTGGATTGAAATGTGCATTCAAACACTTGCAAGAGAAATTCTGCCTTAGAGAGGTAATAAGTGGTTAGAAGGTCGATATATTGTTGCAATTGCCGATTTAAAATTTTTGTCTTATTGTAAGAGAAACCATTTGAAAAAATATTTTCATTTGTTACAGATGCGATTGCAAACGTTTTACCATTAAGTCCGTGTGCCGTCGGAACGAATTTTATATTAGGGGGCTAACCATTGTATTGTTTCTCATTCAGTACGCTGTTATTAAGGAAATATACTACAGTTTGACAATTATTTCCCTCCTCTCCCCCGCTTCCGAAAGATGACAAAAATCAAACAAGTTGCGAATTTCGATACCTTTCCACCTTTAGGTAGAAGCATTCGCCTAGACCTCATAGAGAGAAACGATTTTAGACTTTCTGTTGACAACGAGAGAATTCTCTCCCCTTGCGAAAATTTTTAGATTTAGCTTTCTTCAATCGATCAGTTCAATGTTTTGCAGGATTGCATATTCATCTCTCTCAGTGACGGAAGCAAGTAATGGTGGTAGTTTAAACCAACGAAGTTCAGAAGGAACCCATAATTTAATGCAAACGTTTCATGAAGGCTTGCGTGTTTCAACGAATTTTAACTCTGACAGCAAATCAATTTTTGGGTCAGATTTAAGAAAGAAAATCATTTCAAATCTAAATCCTGGTAGAATTCGCCTCGATATGAATTGCGGATACTTTGAGTAAAAAACCATGGAAAATAATTTCAAGTTCTTACCTTATGTTATATATGTATGACAGCAGTACGTGAACATCTCCCCAGCAATGCATGGCAGAAAAGACCCTTTGCTATCCAAGCAAGGTTACTTTTAAAGTACCCCATTAATTATTCATAAGAATATGATCCTAGTTTTCGATTAATCTTTAAAGCGATCAAAACTCTCGGTGATATTGAAAGAATTTATTTTATAGTACCTGTCCATTTAATTTTGTTTACCCTTAAATGTTTAAGGTTTCTTGCAAGTGAGCCACTGTCGAAGTTCTAGCAAATTCAAGGCGATCGAGATTGGCAAGTTTATTGTCTTGAAAAGCTCCTCTAGAGAAACTGAAAATTGTTACTAAATTAGTTTGCAAGAAAAATTTGGTTTACCTCAGAAGGTTGTTAAATCCGATAAATTTAGCCAAAAGGTACAATCCAGAATGTATTGGCATATCAGCGAAGTTTTATCATTTAAGAACTCTTGCTTCTTGTCATGGGTATATTTCGATAAACATTTGCTGGCTATTTACTTCTAATGAAAACTTATTCAGAAAATCTAGATAAAGAAAGGGCTTCTGTCAACAAAGGAATGTGTCAAGCAAAACAAAAGAGTCACACATTTATCGATGAAGTTTGGCGCTGATGAAAGGGAACAAAATCGATCTCTTCGCACTGAAGTGCCGAGCTAGCATGCCGGCTTTTTTATGGCTTTTGTGTGGTTGGCCATGTATTTTCGCCGCAAGGGAGCAGTTTCCTCCCAAAATGGCTGTCTTGAAAATCTGAAATGTTGGAATACTGAAATGCTGGAATGCATTTTCTTAAGCATATACACCGATATGCTAGCAAGTACAATCCATAATGATTTAGGGAGTCGATGTGATGAGAGGCTATTTAGAAATATTTAGGGCCTGTTTACATGAAGTAGGCTAGTTTCCGCAGGTGAGGTCGTATTCGCAACTGTTTACATGGGGGCGCCATTTATCCCACTTAGGTGGGATGGCCTATTATTAAAAAACTGTAAATGAGGTTTTTTAGTATTTGGCGCAACAGTATTGAATATAAGTTTCCCCAACAATGGCGAATAACAATTGGATTCCTTTTCTGACCGTTAAATTATACGTTATGTTCGGATTCGTACTTCAGTTAGACGGAATTCTAATTTTGTGTTCGATCTATCAAAAGTATGCGATCAACAGAGTCGTGTCATTTCAGTTGAGGAAACATTTGAATTCTCTAGGTCTCTGTACGCTTTTGCTACGGTTTTAGCAGAAGAGTCCGAACTGTTGCTGACGATTCAAACGACATGATTTGGTTTAGTTTGGCGCCAACTTCCTCTACGCAGGCGCATTGACTTCCAGTGAGTGGGCTAGCCCAACTGATTGCGTTACCATGGATAATTTCCATCCCACTTGACGCGGATCCCACCTGTCCTTCTCGCGGATCTGAGCGGGCTGGCCCACTCTCCATGTAAACGCAAATACAGAGAACAAAGGAATGTATAGAAAGCACGGATCCGACTCGAGTTAACCAGCCCACTTCATGTAAACAGGCCCTAAGGCACTTCTTCGGGCCCATCAATTTCTTCTAGATCATGTTCCAGCGCACTAGCAATCCATGCGTTGTTTACATAGTTCTGCATTCGAGTTTATGCAAGGTGGGACCCGCATCAGGTGGCATGAAAATTGTGTGGAAATGTGACCAGGTGGGCCGGCCCACGTAGGTTGATTGGAATGAATATCAATCGAGTTCTTCAGTGATGACGTCACAAAAGTCCACTTTTGAGTACCTCTAAATGTACAAAATCAGTTGGATATGTTACACATTGGCTGGGATATTGCCAAATGAGCACGGGTCCTTCTCTTTCCCATCAAGCCTCTGTTGTCTGGTATCTGTTAATAACTTCGTGAAAAGAGCCAAAATAACTGATCCGTTAGCAATCTTCAAATCTTTCATTGGCGATGCGATGTCTCACCAAATTTTTGACAAATCTTACTGACTTTACATATTAAGAGGTATTTCATAGTGCTCTTTTAGATCATGTGATTAAAATGAAAAATTCTAAAAATATATTTTTACGATGTCGCACTCGAATTATACAGGGAGTTTTGCAAAACTATATAGCAACTTGCCTAAACGAAATTCTTAAAGTTTGAATCACGAAAGTAAAGTCCACTGGTCAGTTAAGCCTTGGGAAATTTCTGGTATAAAAGACCGGATGTTGCGTTTATGGAAGCGTGAAAAATGCAACACACAGAGGCAGCCTTTCCACTAGCCTGGATTAAAACATATCCGGGTTAAGAGTTATCCGTTTCTGCGTCGCGTTCCCACTAACCCACTTGAAAAACGGGTAAGTTTGAAAATGGGTCTCAAAGTGGGTCAGTTTTTACCCGGGTATCTTTTGACCCACCTGCGAGTTAATGGAAACGCCGAATCCCGGATAACTTCTGACCCACTTGCAACAACAGCAACGTTTAAAAATTGAGATGGCACCAAAAATCAAAAAACAAAATCCTGGATGTCAATGTTGCTTCCATTGGCCTACAACGATGGAAATTGAAGGATTATTGATGCAAATACTGATTTCTCTTACAACTTTTCACCCTGGATACATTTTGACCCGGCTTAGTGGGAACGATCAAAAACGGATTAAAAGCGGGTCGAAGAATAATGCCGTTTCCATTGACACACTTTAAAAACGGATAACTTCTAACCCGAATACGTTTTAACCCAGGCTAGTGGAAAGGCTGCCAGAGAGAACGGTATGAAGAGAACAGCTTTGCATTTAATGTGTGGGATATATGAAAGACATCAGATTCATCTATCATTAACTATAAATAACTTGTTACTAGATATCTAAAATACGAATTTCAAGCAAACAGCAACATCATTTTAACCAGTGCAAGAAAACAACATATTGTACAGAGACCATTAGATCTATTGGCCAACAAATATGGCAAAAGCTACCTACTGAGATTAAAGAGTCACAATCACTACATATTTTGAAAATGAATTATAAAATCTTAAGAAAACTTCGAGTGCAACTGTAGATAATTATTATTATTATTATTATTATACCAGTCATGGCACGAACCTACAGTACGACATCTATCGTAATACTAAAGAGGTATTAAAGGCTGTCAAATCAGACAACAAAGAACGTCTCTCCCAAAACTTACCATCTCAGGGAGCCACAATTACCTTGCTACTTAAACATTCACTGGAAAAGCTGAACGGTATTTGGTCAAGTACACAGAGCAATTTGCCTAGTAACATCTTTAACTTTACCATCAAGTATCTTAACAACACTCTTCCAACTCGTAAAAATCTGCTGAAATGGAACCTTAGTCAAACATCTGACTGTGAATTCTGTCTTCTTCCAGAAACACTTCTACACGTTGTTGCTGGATGCAAAGTGTACCTTGACCAAGGACGCTATACTTGGCGTCATAATTCTGCATTAAACTTTCTAGCCACTTCCTTCCAAGCAATAAATGGGTCTTCTCTCTACGCAGATTTACCAGGCTTTCTTTCCCCTTCTAACATAACTGGAGATCAACTACGCCTTGACTTTTTTTCAAAACTTAGGAAAACTGTCTGTACGTTTTAGCGCTAACCATAGGCTTTGAAACAAATCTCAACTGCAATGCTGTCAGAAAGTCAGAGAAATATGCCACCCTCGTATCTGATTTAAAACGTCAGTTTAAGTCAGTCTCGTTTGTCAATCTTTCCATCAGTTCTCTTGGTATTTTTGGCGACTCCTGCAGCTCATTCATCGACATGTGTGACTCTTTGTCCATTGATCATCAACAGAAACGCTACCTCATCTCCAAACTTACAAGCATCTCCATTCGCACCACATACTATATATTCTGCTGTAGAAACAAAACTTGGACTAACCCAGAGCTACTCCCCTTTTAACATTTTTTTTTTCTTTTCTCATTACTACGATTGTAATAGTTTTTATTTTGTAAACACAGGCTAGCCAGTTACAAATTACCTTGTAGTAGTGAGATTTGTAATTGTAGTTTAATTTGAATTCAAAATGAAATGTTTCCATTCTTATTATTATTATGACAGATTTCAAACCAAGCAAGTTTATAGGGAGCTTATTTTCGGTCTGTGGCTTCGATACCTCCGACGGTCTTATTTTCTAATGCTGCTTACTGGTTTTGCAATTATTTGTCTGCTGGATTATGGCCTCTTTAATTTTCATTGCCCGCGTCTTTGCTACGAAATTCAAGCGGCATGTGGTTGCGAAAGCACGGCTGCGAAATTAAATTCAAGTGAGCTTCTTTGGTTTGATACTACTCAAAATCAGTCAGGAAATATATTGAGAAAAGATAATTGTGACATTATTTGCTATATATGGATATTGTTATATTCTTGATTTCTAACCGCAGCAAATACGCGGAAAAGACACGGCCTATATTCAGCGAATGCAATCTTCAAAACTTAACCAAAACACACAGCATGATTATAGGTAATTTAATAAAACAATGGAAGAATCACGTGATAGATATTACAACTACTTCCCTTTTCGAAGGGATTGATACTTTATCCAATAATGTTCGAAGGTAAAAAGGTTCTGTAGCGATCTGGAGGTCGCCTCTGGCCTTTCTCTGTTTATTTCTGTTGCATCGTTTCTTTGCTCTTGTTCTGGCTTTCTCTCTTCTGTGGTTTTGCTTTCCACTGACTCATCTATGTCGAAATCACTGTTTGTATCTTCATAATTACTGTTGCCAATGAACTTTTTAAAATGAGTAACATTTCTTGTTATTCTGTGCTTCTTGTTATTTTCTGCAACAACTTTACTGCCATATCTGCATTTTCACAACGTACGGTGTTCTGTTGAAGAACGAAGTTAGCTTGTTCTTCCTTGGCTGTCGTACGAGAACAGTATCACCAACTTGAATCGTACTTTGCTTCACATTTCGTCGTTTATCTGCATAGCGTTTGTGATACTCTTGACTTTTATTTTCATTTTCTTCAGCCCAACGATGTTTATTGACCACGTTCTTCCTTTCTATAGATGGCAATTTTCCTTGGATCTTTCGATTGAATAGTAGTTCGCAGGGTGCTACTTTCGTTGTACAGTCTGGAGTCATTCGATATTGTAGAAGGACTTGTTGATTTCCTGTCTCCAAACTCTTCCTTCCAACACAGCTGTTTTGATGCATTTCTCTAGTGGTTGGCTAAACTTCTCAACCTCTCCATTTGCTTGCGGCCAAACTGGGGTAATTGGCTTTTGTTTTATCCCAAGTGCCTTACAGTAACGCGAAAATTCGTCACTTTGAAAGGGTGAACCATTGTCAGAACGTATGACAACTGAAATACCATGTCTAGCGAAGATTGCATCTAACTTTGCAATGGTTGAAGACGCTTTTATT